AAAGCCAGCCCTTTTATCTTAAGGACCAACTATTGACCAAAGGTTTATAAGTCAACCACCTCATCCCTGGAAAGAATGACTGGATTTCCACTCCAGCATTCATCCACTCTAGCTCAATGATTCATGCTCTTTCCAAAGAATTTTGAGAGAGAGAAAACAATCTCATTGTTGGTATGGTGTCTAGAAAATCTCTCCCAGCTGCTCTGGGCCATTTTCACAACTAAGGAAGCTTGACTAGCCTGTTAACTCTAAGGAACTCATTCATCTACGACAGACAATATGTATGGGAGGCAGGACAGGGTGGGGTGGGAAAAAGATAGTGAATAAAAAGGAAAGCTAATATGATAGAATTATATAAAGAGTCAAAGGTTATCTCATTTAACCTTATCTTCCACACATGTTTATTGTACTGAAAGAATCAAAAGTTATACAAGTGTAGCGAGTAGAAAGTAGAAACTCCCAGGCCAGTTAAGAGGAGAAAATGAATCAAGGAAGAGGTTTTGTTATCATGCCACAGTGGTCAGGGAACCAGGAAGTCTCCCCAGTTTGCCAGATGGCAACAGGCAGGGGAGGGTTCTACACGGGTGGGGTTAGAGCCCTTCCCCACTGTATCAGATTGTGGGGGGGGGGACCAGGGGAAGGTGGCAAATGCACCATAGAAATCAGAATGACACAGGAGGAGGTGCTGGACCAGAGAGGCCTATCAGTCTAGCCTAGGGTAAGAAGGGGTTGGTTTGGAGACGGACCAAGCCAGAGCATGAAAAGTGTTGGGAAGTTGATTAGTCATTCTGAGAAGGTACCTGGTCTGTCCCACACCAAAGCTAATACAATCCCACGGGAACAAAGAAGCCTCTTTCTTGCTCTTGACCTATACTTAGATTGTGGGCTTGCTTATTCTCTCCATGGGCCACAGGCATTAGTAAGAAAAAGCTCTCCTGCCTACCTACATTCGCTGGTGTGTTTGCATGCTCTCCAGCCCAGATTACGTGGCTTTGCGGCCCTAGCAGCCACTTGGCCCATGACCACGCGGGCTCCACCTGCAGCCTCCAGGAGGCAGCCTGAAGCTGATGGCCGGCAGGAACAAGCTAAGCTACCTGGACAACTGCTTAGCAGCCACCTATGGTCCCCACAGGATGGTGCTCTAAAATGGAGCAGGAACTATAGACACTGGCTTTGGCTTTGGTCTTGCTGAAGGTGATTGCGCTTTTTCCATGGTCTTCCTGAAGAGATGAGCTTGAGGTGGGGAGTCTACCATTCTTGATCGTGCAGCACCTGAATGAAACTTCTCTCCTTTTCACCAGCATCTGCTCATGAGTTTGGCTTTTTGTGGTGACAGGCAGCCAAAACCCCTTTTTTTTGTTTGTTTGGCAAGAATTTTACTTCTTTTTTTCCCAATTAGCCTGGTTTCTGTTTCTTTTCTTGTCTTATTGCACTGGGTAGACACTCTAGCACAATGCTGAATAGCACATTAATCACTATTTGGTGGATATCATTTAGACATTTTCCTAGTATGGTCAGAGAAAAACTTAGCTAAACAAAATTTTGAAATAATAGGATATTATTACAAATACTATTTAACAATAATGTGTATTAAATTTAGGAGTATGTAATTTTAATTGAAGAAAAGGTAATGAGTTAAACCAGAACTCATTAATAAATTTTAGGCAAATATTTCTCTACTTCAAAAACAAAATCCCATTCCTAAATAACCTAAAATAAATATAGAAAATAAAACATATGTTGTCAAGATTACTAACACCTCCTATTCTGTAACCATAACTCCACAGTTGTCTTAGATTCAACATTCATCTCTAATCCATTCCTTTATGTGAATTCATGTCTCAGTTGACTGGGCTTTTCCATTCAACAAAATTTTTCAGAATCCAGTGGTACTGCATTTCCTAAGTTCTTGCATACTTTCAGAATGTTGCTGTTACACTCTAAGGACAGCTGGATCACATATGAGATTCTTGACAAACTTTCTTTCCCTTAAAACTTTGTAAATGATGCTCTATGATATTCGGGCCATGAATATCACTGTGCAAAGGCTAATAATTTTCTCTTTATGCATGATTTGTGTTTTAGGGGGTGTCTATAAAAGTTTATTTTATTTTGTCAAAAAAAGAGTGAGATATAGAATGTAGAGAAGGACGATTGACACAAGAGCTGCCAGAATTCCATCGATGACGTCAGTGAGGGTCCCAGAATGACACCGGTTCCCACCTGGGTTGGTCAAACAGCTCTGGAAGAAATTCCCCCAGGGACAATGTAATGGCTCCAATAGCCCAGATCACTGGCAAACACTTTTGTGGTAAATAGGGTGTGCTCCAAATGGGGACATTCTGACAATGACGGTGGACATTTTACTGATGATGCCAGACCTACAGGCACAAAGGGGGATAAGGCTCACAGTGGTATGAATGAAAGAATGAACAAGAAAAAGAAGTAAGCATAACCTGTCAAACCTGTGAATATTCCTTATAATATTGATCCTTATTTGGATCAATGTAGACAATGGTCTACAATGTAAACAATGTAGACAAATAAGGATCACTTGATCCTTATTTGGATCAATGTAGACAATGATCCAAATAAGACGGCAATATAATCTTTGAGGGTCCAGAGCAAACCACCCCAGGATGTGTCTTGGTGGTAATTTTAGTTTTAGGCTCAAGCAAAATTTGTGCCCCTCTTCCATTCCCTACTTCTTAGAAGAATTTGAATTGAAGGCCTTCCCAACAATAAGAGTCTATCAGTGATAACATTTTCTACCTACTTATATAGCAGAGCTAACTTTTATTTTCTATGCATCTGCTCTTATCAACCTGCAATGAGCCTTTGAAGCCCCAAGGGGCATGACCTCATCCCTAGCTCAGGATGTCTTGTACACCCCAACTCCCCTTTCCATCTCTGAAGCTCTCCTGTATGTGGGGTTGCTGTGCACAGGATATTAAATTTGATTTCCGCTCGTCAGTTTGCCTCCTGTTGATCTGATTATTCGGCCAGCCAAAACAACTGGAGCAGGAAAAGGGAAATTTTTGCCCTTGCCTACAAACCAAGAGTGCAGAGGAAAGGGAACTAAATTCTCACCTTCTGCAGTGAGAAACTGATAATATATATAATGCATTAAGAATGCAAGATAGTGACATAAATATGTCATTTAGAGACAAAGAACTAAATACAAAATACAGCAACTAAAATGGGTGAATGTGGTTTTTTCTGGGAAGAAGATAGACAAAAAAGAAACAGGGATTGCTGTTTTTCATAATTATTGGACTCTAAGCTTTACACATTTATCTTTTTAATATAGAGTAAAAAAAGAAGAAAGAAAAGATGGAAGAGAGGAAGAAAAAAGGGAAAGAGGGAGAGAGCAGCATGTCTACCCTGTGTCTGGTAGAACTAAAAACAGTAAAAAGGTCAAGTCCAATCTATATTTGACTGGATTTTTTAGGTATACTTATTGTGTTTTCGTAGATTGAAGGCAGAAGGGTGGGCAAAGTCTAAAACAGAAATAATGCTTCTTAATGTTGGGTTGGCCAAAAAGTTCATTTGGTTTTTTTTCCTGTAAGATGGCTCTAATAGCACTTCATTGCCTTTAACTTCATTCAAAACAATGTTGGTAGATCATATTGTAACAATCATCTTATCAGCAGGCACTAAAAAAATAGCTTATCAAAATTAGTGAATTTTTGTAGCCATTTTAATATTGAAGATGCAAGAGAAGAGGCAACATATTCAGCATATCATTCCTAATTATTTCAGGAAAGGTAAAAACGCAACTGAAACACAAAAGAAAAAAGATTTGTACAGTGTATGGAGAAGGTGCTGTGACTGATCAAATGTGTCAAAAATGGTTTGTGAAGTTTTGTGCTGGAGATTTCTTGATGGACAATGTTCCACGGTCAGGTAGACCAGGTGGGGTAGATTGCTATCAAACTGAGACATTGAGAACAACGAGTGTTATATACCATGTGGGAGATAGCTGACATGCTCAAAATATCCATATCAATAAAGTCATTGGTGAAAATGAAAGATGTGTCTTTTATTTTATGGAAAAAAAACTAAATAAACTTTTTGGCCAACCCAATGTTTACAGAAATAAGGAAATGGGGGCAAACTGAGATGGTGCTGTAACATGCCTCAGAAATATTTACTCAGAAATGAGTTATTCAGAAGTTTTCCTTTCAAAATCATGAATGGTGGGTTTTTAATTAGCTTTGTTTTCTGTTACCAAAAGACGTTACTGAGAAATCTGGTAAAGGAAATTGTGAAAATAAAGGGGGTGGTATTATATTTACTGACACCTTTTCTTCTTTGTTATATTCTTCTGGTTGCTACTACTTCACCCTAACATCTACTGGCTTTTACGAAGACACCAACTACTCTACTACAATTTGATTTTCAGAACCTTTAACCAACATTTTCTGATTAGAATTAAAGAAAATGTGGTATAGATGACACTTTCTCATCCACTTCCCCAGCTCAGGAGGCCTGAAGAAAAGGTCCTTCTTAAATTTCCACCAGTGATGCATTTCGTGCAAAGCCCCGGATGGAGGCTCTTGTCAGAGGCGCCTTCCTGGTAGATCTACACCTCGGGGACCCAAACCCTCTGTTATGGGCACATTCTCACCTTCCCTGAGTGCATTTACTTGCAAAGCCATGAAACACTGGTATGTAAAAAGAAGCTTAGCTGGCACCAGATCTTAATAAGACTGTCCACAGTACTGTTTTGTATGGGATTTCACTACAAAACATTTATTAATTCAACTTGAATCACTGAACTCACAAACAGAAATAACCTAACTTACTGTCAACAGCTGCTATGGCAGTGGGCTCCTCAGAGAGTCAGCCCTGCTTCTACTCACAGGGTGGGACCACGCACAGTAGGGCCAGAAAAGGAGAAACGTCCAGGACTGAGTTCTTACTCCATGAATGCTTACTGTGTCATTTTTGTTTGGTTGTTAAATGATCTTTAATTGAAATGTTTTCTTTTGTAGTTCTCAACTGGCTGGGCACTCCCCTGCACCACTGTGGATGTCATCTCTGGTGTCGCGAGGGTGGCGGCCATCGACACTGCAGCCCGCAGCCCGGGCTGTCCCAGGGTCTCTTTCACGGTTCCAGAGAGTTCTCTAGCCAAAAATCGGTTCCCCATCTGTCCGGCACTGCTGACGATCTCATCGAAAGTGATATTTCCACTGTGCTTAACGTTTTTTTGCCTCTTTCTGTCTCGTGGTGGTTCTTCGAGGGCTTTGATGATCAGGGCAGAGGCAGAAGGCACTGCCTCAGTCTGGGCCTGTCTGTTCTGAAGGGTCATGTTCACTGTGAGCCTCGGACCGCTCCGGTCACCGGTTGCTTTGGTGATGTCGTCACCAATCTTTTTTGGACACAGGCCCAGGGGGCCGATTTTGGGGGCCAGGGCAGACATGGCACCAACTCCCTGCCGGTGCACCGCAGGTAAATGACTTTACTCTCGTTGGGGTCCAGGTTCAGGACCGTGGTGGAAGCGGCTGGTGTCGGAAGAACCCAGACTCTGGACAACTGAAGAAAATTGCACCTTTGCCTCCTCCCAGCCAAAAGCCGAAAGTAACAGTAATTTTTGAGAGATTTAACCACTCTGAACCTCAGTCTTTTGTCTATAAAATAAAGAAGCTAAGATTTTCTTTACTGTGGTCCACCAGAGTAAGTACCTTATTTAAAGAGGACATTCAACAAATACTAGAGCTTTCTTCCCTCTTATTTCGGGCATGAGTGTGGTAGGCATCTTGCTCCCTTCCCCTCTTACAGGACCAGACTCCTTTTCCCTTATTTGGACTGCAAGAAGAAGAAATCAGCCTACGAAAGACCACCTTGTGAGACTGCACTCAATTGACATTAAAGGGTTTGGAAAATCAGATCAACCCCTGGTTCTGCTCCTTCGCTCTCCAGTCAGGACTTTGTTAAATCACTGGCAGAGATTATTTTTCTAGTGCCATTTTCAATTCAAAGGCTAGCCGGGGTCAGCTGGATTGCCCCCTTGGGAAATGGTCTCTTAAAAAACGGTTGCATAACAATAACCCACTGGTTTCCCTTTTCAGGAAAGTTAGCAGGAAAGGCAGTAAAGAAAAACCACAAACCACATAAGAGACATGGAGGGAAAACAGGGTAAAAATTATTGCAGAATTAGAAGATTATAATCAGGAATTCCTCATTTTTTTCTCCATGGGTATGACCTATAATGTAATTTTGCCTTTGTGTGGAATAGAATACATGAAAAATCTTAGGGCCTGGAAAACTTTTAGACATTCTCAAAAGAGATAAGCCCAATTTGCAGAAATTGAAGCTGTTCATAGACACCAGAGTCTTCTCCATAGTTCAGCTAATTAGGAGTGGATTCCATTTCTACCCATACACATTCCTCTTTAGTTTAGGTATTCTGGTATGTATGCAAACATATTTGTTACCGAACAAGAGGAGGTCCAAGGGAGGGGCAATACAATATTTGGCCCACCTAGGGATGCCCAAAACTGCTGTACAACAGGGGCCCCTCCCAAAAACCAAAATACTAAAATCTACTGGGCCCTTCTGTCCGCCGCCAATTGGAAACACATCTCTTAATGCCAGAGATTTGTGAAAAGGAAACAAAATGTTTATTTAATGCTATTCAGGCCTAATGCCACCACTAAAATATCAAAGTCCTTTAGGTTGTACACCTACACCCACACAGCGTTCCCTTCTCCCTCTGTCCCAACTCCGGGTACCGTAAATCAGGAAAAGAGCACACGTCTGTGTTGCAGGCCGCTGGCACCGTCAGCTGTGTCACCGTGCAGGCAGGATCTCCAGTTAATCCAAAGTACTGTGGTACCCTCTCATGGTCCACTGGCAAGAGTCCTTTGTACCCAGTTCCAGTCAAAGTCTCTGTTGCTTTTCAGGCCCCGCGGCCAAAGGGGGGCACCCCAAAGCCGCGTGGGCCTCTTCTACCAAAGCTGCAGGAGTCCGCACTCCACCAAAAACATGTGGCTGTCTTCTTCACCTGGCTGCAGGGATCTCCATTCTGGCAAAGCTGCGTGGTTCTTCCCTTTCATCTGGGAAAGAGGGGGTCCACACCCTGCCAATACCGCGTGGCTCCCTCTTTCACCTCACCAACAGGGGGTCCTCACTCTGCTGAAACCGCGTGGCTCTCTCCCATCTGCCCAAGCAGGGACCCTTCATGTCCTAGAGCCAGTCTTTTCCAAGCTCTCACCTAGGCCATCTCGCTCAGGAGCACAGCCCCTAGTTACATTCTGAGTCCAAGCCCTTCTCACTCCGGAGAGCAGCCCCTAGTTCCCATCTTCAGTCCCTGCCACTACCTTCTCCCCCCTGCCTCCTTCTTCCTGGCCCCAAACTTGGCCACAGCTATTTAACATATCTATGAAACCAGTTAAAGGTTATAGATATGTTAAATAACCATTCCTCCAGAGGTTAGCTCCAAAACTGTTGCTATGCAAAATAGCTCTCAATGGCCTGGCTCTATTCTTTCTTCCCCCTGGGGGGGGGGGTGAGGACATCTTATATGTCTCTCCAATATTCCTATACACTTTGAACTCTGGACACCTTTCCAAATCTTCTCGGGGGGCCCCCCTGTCTGCACCCTGTATCATATTTAGTTCATGTATTTAAGTGTATGTGAAAACTATATTTTTGTGTGCTGTGTTGCTCTGCTGTTTAGGAATTAGATAATGAGCCTTGCGTTTATTTTAAGGAATTCTCAACAACAGTCATGCTTCCTATCTAGGTGAGACATTCTCAGCGTGAATGGAAAAAGGATGTTTTAAGAATTCAAATGGAAAATAAGAAAATAGTCTGACACTTTGTTGCTAACTCTAGAAATAAAAATCAGACGGTTGTTTCCCTCCTTCATACTGTTCTTAGGTTTTTCTCTGAACACAGAAACTTCAAAGACACTTTGCTAAAACCCAGAAACTTGCTATGCAACCTACACGTGAAATTATTTCTCCCCCACCTTTAATCCTGAGGATCTATCATTCTGCTATTTAACAAACAGGCTCTGTCAGAAGGAAGGAGAATATAACAGTAGCCAGTGGAATCCATTTGCAATCAAGTTTTCCAGCTTGTCATGGTTCCTTAGACACTGTTCGAGGAAATCTCACAAATGAAACTGATTGACCGTAAAATGTGCCTATTTTCTATTAAATTTTGCTCACTGCCTCCTGAGCCACTGGAGTTAGCAACGTTCCACTGGTTGGCCCTGTGGGGCCACCTCTAGGTCCCGTTGGCCCAGAAAATGAACCATGCATAAGAGAGGCCTTGGGGGAGAGGTTTCCTTCCCATTGCTTGTTTTGCACATTGCTGAAGCTAGACGTGTTAGCAGTCCCTTGAAGACAGCAGCATTAGTCAGACCTTCGGGGAAAATAGGGAGAAATGGAACTTAACCCTGTCGCATGCCTGATAGAAACATGCCAGTTGAGACAGGCACAGGGCAACACATGAGGAATCTGTTTTCAGAGTGCGAGCAGAATGGGTGAAGGCGTAGAGTACTTCATAGCCCAGTTAAAATTCCAGAGCTGTTAGGTACCCATTGCATGACCTTGATGAAGTCACTTCACCTTTAAAATTCACTTTCTTCATATATATATTATGGGCATGATATGACTATCTCTAGAAGTTATTATGGGCAACAAAATACAACATGTGTAAGGTGTTTGTCGCAGGTGTGACCATCAGTCTGCTCATAATGAGTGCCAACAGTCTTAATGATGATGATGACGATGATGTTATTATTCTCATCCAACACTGCAATTTGCCAGCTGTATGTTCTGGGGTGAGGAATTGTATCATTTTCTTCTACTGGAAAACAAAGAGAATAATGTTGACCTTGCAATGTTGTTCTGAGGACCAGAAATGGTATGTGAGAAGTATCTAGCTGTAGCATCCAGCCTTGCACAAGTCAGATCTTGACAATTTGTTGTTTTGTTGTTTTCACTACCATGTATTCTTTATATAACTATCTGTTTAATTTTGAGATAATTCATGTTTCATATGAAAGTTGGCTCTTCTGGATATGATACATTTATATACCAGTCCATCTGTAAATGTTTAATCAAAAGATAGATAAGATATCTCTACCTCTTAAGTACCTTTCAACCTCTGTTAGACTTAACTCCCAAATAAGCTGTGGTTGAAAATCTTACCAGTGTCCTCTACTAAAAGTAGGGCTCATCAGAGCCACTATGAAAGGGACACACTAACACTTCCCCAGCTTGTGGATATACACACTTTAAGCAATTTGGTGAAGGCAGGAAAAACTAGGATTAAAGCATCTAGGGAATATTTTATTCCCTTTGGCTACAATTGGTTTACCAGTCACTGGAGAATGGACTTTATTCAAGGAGCATTCTCCCGGACCTGTTAGCTGGCCACCTGGTCTATATGCCCTGGATACCAGAATCTTGATTCAATTGTCAGTTGGATTTATATAATTACAACACAGTTTTTGAAACAATGTCCTTTTTTTTCTTTCATTTGAGAAAAAATAAGATAGTTGAGAATACAGAGCTCATGATGTGGAAGGACAACATGCAGGGGGGTTTTTCAAGTCCTTTGTTCTGTGTTTTTTGGCCCTGCAGGGTCTGTGCACCTCCCCACCTCTTCCCACCAACTCAACCCTCCTTGGCTTAAATGGTGGCTTAAAGGTTCCCACACCAAAACCCAGGGCTCTGGGATCTGAAAAGCCTGACTCTTCATCTTGGCCAAATATGCGTCAACCAGACATAATGTTTCCAAATAAGATTTACACATTATTTGATCAAGATGAACCTCCCCTTCAGGGAAGTTAGGCCCCTTCACCAACTGTCCTATGATATGTCATTTTAGATGTCTTAGCCTAGGTTCCCCCCAAAAAGCAGAGTCTGTGACAAGGTGAAAGTAATTTGGGGGTAGTTAATCCTAAGGAACAAGAGTAAGGCGCTTAGAAGGGTAAAACTGGGAAGAGAAAAATAAACCAAGGTTGGAGAGTAAGTGGTCCCCATCTTATCAGAGAGGCATGTGTTCCCAGAACTGCAATGGATGCCTGAAACTATGGAGAGTACCAAACCCAATATATACTATGCTTTTCCTAGACACATATATCTTTTCACTTGCTTCTCCTTGGCATATCTGAATTGCCAGCATCACTATTCTGGTGCTTCGAGGTGTATTAAGTAAAATAAGGGTGACTTGAACACAGGCACTGAGACACCACAGCAGTCAGTCAGATAACTGAGATGGCCGCTAATGGCAGCAGATACAGCAAGGATAGGCTGGACTAAGGGACGATCGCATCCTGGGTGAGACAGATCTAGATGGTGTGAGAGTTCATCACACTACTCACAAGAGTGGCCCATTAAAACTATGACTTGTTTGTTTATAGAACTTTCTTTTTAATATGTTCAGATGATGACAGTTGACTCTGGTAACTAAAACCATGGAAAGTGAAACCACAGATAAAGGGAAACTGTTATCATATCCAACTGGTCTTTGCTGTGGGCAACTGGGCCCTGATCCTGCTAAAGACTCTTTGAGAAACTGTGCAGAATGTGATTCAGAGCTATTCACCCAGGTGATGGAAAAGTAGATGATTTCTACAGTCTCCCACCTCCCACTGGTCAAGGGTTCCTCC